CCCCCCCCCCCCCCCCCCCCCCCCCCCCCCCCCCCCCCCCGCCCGGAAATCCTCAGGTGGCCACACGTACCCAAAATGCCTCTGGCCCCACTTTAGCTGGGAACTCCCTCTCGCTCTCTCTTCCTGTATCTTGTTTTTAAGACATGAATTGTTCGGTAAGCTTTTCAAGTGTAGAAAAGATCTCAACTTTACTGAGTGACCATGGTCTGCGCTGACCACAAACTCACTCTCTAGGGAGGAAAGTGAGGAGGAGCACCTTACGGCCATGGAAGTCATGCGGGAAGGGAGCGGGGGGGGAGACAAGTCACCAGGAGAAAATGAACAGGAGAGGCGAGGGGGCGGCCAAAAGAGCGGAGCAGACTATCTGCAGAATGGACAGACGCAAGGAGGGAGGAAGAGACCCCTCAGTGAGTAAAGGCTGGAGGGAGGCCTAGATGCCAAGTCTCCCCAGTAGCTGCTCTAAGGGTCTCACTTCCTTAAGGGCTGGTGTCTGAGCTCCTCAAGACCTGGGTCAAGTATCTCTTCAGCTCCCACCCAGGAAACAGGTATGGCCTGATGCCTTGTCTAGAAACACCCACTACTGGCTTTTGCCCAACCCAACTCCCTAGTCATGTGCCCTTCAAAAGAAGCCCAGTGCTGGGGGGATGAGGTGCGGGCAGGAAACCCCAGTTCTAGTCTGCCTCCCATTTGCTGTGTGATCTGGAGCCAGTGCCTTCCCCTCTTCGGACCCCCGAACCCCTTCTGCAAGGTGTTCCCAGGGGCTGCACCGTGAAGCCAGGCTGGCTTGGCTGAGTCTTCACAGCTATCCTCACCTGCAAACCACCCAGCCTGGCATACCCCAGGTGCTCAGTAAATGCTGAATGATAACTGCTCTGGCCACTAAGGCAAACACTGGGCTAACTGGGACGGCTGGGGCAAGCAAGGAGTCTGTGGTTTGGGGGAGAGCAAAGCAAAGTTTTCCAACTGCATGAAGGAAGATTTCAGCTTCCACGGAATGGCTGTGTTGGAGACTACTGTTAGCAGTAGTGATTCTATCCAGAAACGGGACATTCGCACTATCTCAAGGGCAGAAGGGGTGAAAGCAAACCCCTCGGGTCCTTCCTTACAAGCATTTGAGCCGCGGGCATCCCAGCGCGGTGTTACGTGCTCACCCTCAAACCAAAAGGTGTTAAGTCATTCACCACCACTGATCATCCCTCCTATTCTTCGCTAATGAGCTACCTGAATTGTCCGTGATGAAGGCTGAAGGCGGGAGCTGCCTGGGGGTCCCAGCCGCAAAGCGACGGCTACAAGTCGGACCCGAGGCGCTCTGCTCCCACAAGATCCCTCCCCACAGAGCCTTCCATTCTACCCTCTCCTCCCGGTCTCCCGACCACCCTCAGCCCTGACCTCCCAGTCCTTCAATCCGAAGAGGGCGTTCACCGCCTCCCGAAATCCCCCAGCCTCCCCGGTCAAATGGGAAAGTCTGCGTCCCCTTTCTCTTCCCTGCCCGTCCCCGCTCCCCCCAACCCCGCCCCGCCCCGGAGAAGCGCCATCTCTGTTCCTGAGCACCGCCAGCCCCGCGCCTGCCCGCCGTCCCCGCGGTACTCACCTCCGCGCGGCACAGCTCGCTGTCTCCACTGGGCGACGGGCTCAGGACTAGTCTCCTAACCCAGTCGGCGCCCCACCCTGCAGCTTCTCAGCACTTGCTGGGGAGGAATCCAATCGCCCACCTCCCGCCGCTCTGATCCAAAGCAGACCTCGGGCTCAGGTTGACTTGAACTTAAAGCGGAAGTCCAACGTAAAGTGAACTTTACGTGGCAGGAGCTTGAGCTTGGGCCTGGGTTGGAAACTCGGCTCCCCCGCTTCGCTAAGCAGGTGGAAAAGGCCAGTCACTGGAACCTCAGTTTCCTGGTCCATGATAGTGAACCAAATATGTAGCCCAAAGACTGTGCTAGGGATTTTACGTGCATTGCCTCATTTCATTCCCCTGCTGCTGGGGAGAGCTGGTACTTTTTTCATTTTTGCTATTTTACAGAAAGGGAAGTCAAGGCTCAGGGAAGTTACGCCCCAAATCACTAGGCCAGCGGATGACGGGGCCATGACTCAAATCCCCCCATGAGGCGCCCAGAACAGAACGGCCCCTGGACGTTCAGATGCAGCAGGACCACGGCCCCGCCCCGCCGCGCTCCCTCCTCCCGCTTTCCCGCCAGCGCTACCTTCCTTGGGCGCCTCGGCGTCCCAGACGCTCCACATCTGCACGAAAAAGAATGGAGTCCAGCACACGATGAAGGCCAGCACGATGATGAAGGTCATTTTGACCGTGCGGATCTTGGCCTTGGAGATGAGCTTGACGCTGCTGACGCGGGCCAAAGCCCCGCGCCCCGCACAGTCCGCCGCCGCGCCCTCGGGTCCCGCGGCCGCCTCGGCCACCGCCGCCGCCGTCTTGAGCCGCAAGTTCTGCCAGATCTTGAAGGTGATGAGGCCGTAGCAGGCGGCAAGCACGATGACGGGCACGATGTAGACGGCGAGCGTGATCCACGTGATGTAGGCCTTGGGCCCCCAGGGCTGGATGAAGACGGCCCAGCAGTCGAAGACGCCATCGGCCACCTCGCGCAGCGAGAAGATGTGCACCTGCGGCGCGCTGGCCACCAGGCAGCCCAGCCATGTGGCGAGCACGGCCAGACGGTCGGTGCGGCGGCGCAGCACGCGCAGCGGCTGGCAGATGGCCAGGCAGCGGTCGAGCGACATGAGCAGCAGGAGGTAGGTGGAGGCGAACATGCCCACCACCTGCAGGTACTTGACGAGGCGGCATAGCAGGTCGGGTCCGTAGAAGCGGAAGGTGATGTCCCACAGCAGCTGCGGCAGCACCTGGAACACCGCCACCACCAGGTCGGCTATGCTCAGGTGCTTCATGAAGAAGAGGAGGCGCGAGCGCGGGCGGCGCGCGGTGCGCAGCGCCAGCAGCACGCACGCGTTGCCGCTCAGCGCCAGGAAGAGGATGAGGCACAGCACGGCCACCTCCACCCGCGCCAGGGCCTCGTTGCGCTGTGGCGGCCCAGCGGTGAGGTTGCCCTGGGCCCCCGGGGGCGCCGCGCTCCCGCTGACAGCCTCGGCGCTCCAGTTGGCGGCAAGCGCACCCTCCATGACGGTGGCCGCCGCCGTGCGCCCCAGGCCTTCGCGCCCTTTAAGGCGTGGCGCGCGGGTCGGGGCCCGACGCGCAGCCCGGGCGTGCTTGGGGGCTCCTGGGTTCCGCTCCCTGAGACTCCGCGGAGCGATCTGACGGATCGGCCTCTGAAACAAACCCCGAGGGCCGTGAGAAAACGCACGCTTCTCTGCCGACGCCTGTGCGGCTCAGCTGTCCCCTTCCCAGGAACCCCAAATCATCTAGGACTAGAGTCACAACAGCCGGCCCTGGGGTTGCTCAGCCGCCGCCCTAGAAATCCCCGTTTCAGGTACCTCCCTCTGAGACACGAAATGAGCGGCAATGCCGGACCCCCAGTTCCTTGAGAAAGTCGCTTCCAATGAAGGAGGAGACGGAGACGGAGGGTTAAAATCAGTTTTCTCCGGGACTGGGACTTCTAAGCCAGCCACCTCCCCTAGGGATCCCCGCAACTAGCTACCCACACCCCAGAACCCACAGCACAGCCACCTCTCCTAGTAAACCCTACTCCAGTTGCTCCCTCGGGAGACCCCCCCAAATAGCCACCTGTCTGGGAAACCCAGCTGAGGACCAGCCCCCTTCAACCCCCCGTTTCTAAAATGCCTAGCCATCCACCCCTGAACTTCCACAACAGCTGCTTCTTTGGAACCCAGTCCAGTGGCCCATCCTGGAGGCACTCCTGGCTCCACACTACCTAGGACGCCCAAACGCTGTTCCCAGTACCGCTCTGGCCTCGACACCTCTCGCGGCTTTCCTCCCCAGCCCAGCATCCTGGAAAGTTCGGAACTCGACACGTGTCTTGGCCCCTGACAGCCGAGGGAGGCGGCGCCGCCTCCAGAAACCAGAATCGCAAAGCACCCCACCACCTCCACCCGCGTCCCAGTGGCCCCACCAGCCCCAGCCATCCCGTCCACCCGTGCGCAGGACCCAGCTACCTGCACCGAGTCGTTAGGCCAACCTAAAGTTGGCTCGCTGGGGAAGCTGCACCGCCGATGACAGCTCCAAAGCCGCTTGCGCTCCCGGCCCAGGTTGAGGTGGCTGCTGCCGGTACCCAGTCTGATAGGATGCTGAGGGCTCGGACTCTGGAGCCTGGGCTGGAATCCCCTCGCCCGCAGCCTGACTGGTCGCTGGATAGAGACTGGAGGCGAGCGAAGAGCGCTGCCGAGGCTGTGCGCGCAGACGGCGTCAGGGTGCGGCGCTGCCGGCCGGTGGCCAGCTTTCCTGCAGCGGGGGACACGGGCCGCACCACCCCACAGGTCCGCTAGGAGGCGCGGGAGGCCGGCCTTGCCGACCCCCGCCGAGCGGTGTAAACTCGCCCAGCCTTGCCCCGGCGCGGTAACAAAGAGGCTAATTGCACAGCGGCTTCAAGCAGCAAGAGGGAAGGAGCTCGTAAATAATCCGCTTGGTTTCTTCCTTTCTTGGTTTAGAAGCTCCTGACTCTCAGGCAAATGCGAGGCTTGGATAGCAGTGTCTTCCTGTTGACAGTGATGAAGTTACAAAAGCGTTTAACTGGTATTTCCCAATCATCAGGTCAACTTCAGGGCTTCCCCACCGCCCCCTTCCCCGAGCTTGATGTAGTGGATTCAGCTCTGAATTCAAGTTATGTCCTTGCTTTGGAATACTTTTGTTCCTATTTTCATTCATAGGGAATTAGAAATACTTTCTGTTCCAATCAGCACTGGGAGAGGTGTTCATTCTTTAGGTAGTTTTAGGGGAAGATCTCAAGCCGAATAAAAAACTATCTTCATTTTAAAGTGATTCTGCTCGTCTATGGCCCAAAGCCATTTCTGCCTTTTTGCCATGCTTCAAAATTAAAATCCTACAAAGTGTCAAAGGAGTATGAAATGTTAAAGACGTCTTCTCTGACTCCTAGCTCTTTTTCTATTCTAAAATCATTTTTTGAAGTAATTTACAGTGACCAAGAATTAAGGCAGGAAAAAAAAGTGAGGATTCAAAAGTGGACAAGGCTCTTTAAAAATTATTAAATGCACATCTCCTCCTGACATTCCTCTTACCCCTCTTCTAATCTTGTGGCTCGAATAGAGTTAGCCAAGGACAGGGTTTCCACAATTACAGCTCTCTGTCAAGACATCCTGGGGAGAGACCACTGCTGCCATCCTGGGCCCAGGGTTCTAGGTGAGAGAGCATTCCACGATAGGCCTGGGAATTTCGGCACCATCGTGAAGCGGTGAGAGACAAAAGTTGTCTTTTTCTTGCCCTAGAGAGTTGTGTCATAATATTGTTTAAAAACAAAACTCAACTGAATAAATGTTAAAGATTTTAGTGGCTTTATTCAATGATTCGTGAGTTAGGCAGCATCCAATCTAGCGCATATAAAGGAGCTCTGAGGAGCTGTACAAAATGACAGACTTTTATAGGCAGAGGGAGTGGAAACAAGGAAGTTATGCTAGGCAAAGAGCAGACTGGTTATTGCAAGGTTACTTTGCCTATAGAGGATGGCAGGGGTCAAGCAAGCAGATTACCTAACTCGAGCTGATCAGGCGATTCCTGCTTGACTGGTTTAAAATTCCATCTCTGGGACAGCCAAAACTATATTTAAGTTAAATCCCAGTTTGGTGACTTGAGGCTTAGCATAAGTGACTCCATTTTGGTCCGGATGTCTTGTTTTTAATAGTATTAATAATAGCAGTGTCACGTAAATTACAGGTTAAAGTTACAGACCACTCAGGTGAGGATTAAGTGATCCTGACCATCTCACTGTGCCTCAGTTTCCCCATCTGTAAAATGAGGGGGCTGGTCAAAATAGCTTATCTCTGAGATCTCATCCCTCTGGTTTTCTGGAATTTGATGATCTGTGCCATCTGACAGTTTAATTCTACTGAGTAAAACACATCTGCCCCACTCCATGTGGGATGAGGAGGGGTTTTTCCTAAGCACTCCTGACAGGTAAATTCAGGGTATAAAACACGGCATCCAGAGCGCAGCCTGCCCCGCTTTCTCCTGGAAGAGAGCTGCCTTCAGGGAGCAGATTTCCTGGACCACCGAACTATAGCAGGATGGAGGGGAGGGAAGGCAGGAGGAAAGGACAGAGGGAAGGATAGACGGAGGGAAGGAGAGAAGAAATAAACATCTCCATGGGCAGTGTCACTCTTGAGTGGACCAGGTCACCTAAGGAATCTTCCCACCCAGAGGATGACCTGTCCAGTACCCACACCTACCTCCAGGAACTGGATGTTGAGTTCTAGCGTCTTTGGAATTTTCCAGCCCTGGTACATTTACTTAGAGATGGGTCCAACCAAGCCCAGGTGGCCCTGCTCTTTAGTCTGGGTAGAAATGAGCCATAAACACATTTAGTCCAGTCCTTCCCCCGCCCTCCCCCCCTGCCCCAGTGATCTCTCAGTCTCCACTGGGGCTTCTAGCACAGGACAGCATCAGAGACACACTCAGACATGAAGACAGAGGACACATCCTAGCAATAACCTTGCTGCCAGCAAACTTGCTCCCTGGTGTCCTTACATTTACCGATGCTGTCCAGACGCAGGAACATCAGGGCATGTGGGATGGCCTGGGAGGTTCATGAGGCCGGGCCAGGGCGGCAGCTTACAACTCCCATGTACTTCCTCTGGCCCGCATCGTTTTAGGGCGCTTCTCAACATATGTTTCATTCCTCTGTTCCATGGAGAGAGGAACACATGTTTTAATCTTGGAAAGCGCTGTGAACTTGCAGCAGTAAATGCTACAGTCTGGGTTTTACCACCTACTTACCTCTGTGGCCAAGTCACGGAGCCTCTGAGACTCACTTTCCCTGGGTGCTGACCTCATGGGGCTGTGAGGAAATAAGACTTCACTGATGTGAGGAGTGCTTTGCAAACTGTTAAATCCTGTACATCTGAAGATGTTTTCTCATGTTGACAATCCTCACCCCAGGACCATCCTATGAAAATATATTTTCTCATCCAATCAACCTCCATCTTATTCATCTTCCAGATCGAACTCTTGTGTCTTTTCAATTCAGTTAAGACCAAGTGTGTGTGTGTGTGTGTGTGTGTGTGTGTGTGTGTGTGAGAGAGAGAGAGAGAGAGAGAGACTGTGCCAGGCAAGGAAAGTAACTCCTTTGAACCCCAACTGGTGTGATGAGAATTTGAGATCTTTACCTCTTCAGAGAAGCCCTCCCTGACCACCTCAGCCCACTGAGAAATCCCCATTTTCAGAAACGCTGGTGCCTGACTACAGACTTCACCTGTAATGTGAACATGTCCAGTCTCCCTGGTGCTATGTTAAGTGCCTAGAATAAGTCCCGCACACCACAGTCCTCTATATATTTACCATTATCTTTCCTATTGCACATGCCTGTCAATAACAATGTGCTGAGAGAACAATGCTGGATTACCCAAGAACACCCCTCAGCAAATTAACCACTAGGGTCAGTCAGTCCTTTGTTTCCCAGAACAATCTCTCTGGGGAAATCTGGCTGAAAGAGGGCTCTTTGTGACAAAGTGTGCTATTCAGACATGTTCCCTATTCTTCCCAAGAGGGAGTGATGGTAGAGATAAAGCGTGATGCTTCCAATTCCACAAACATGTCCACTGACCGTGGATGTGACAACACAACCCCTATTAGGGAACTAGTGTCAAGACATGCATTCTCCACTTGCAGACACCAGTGGCCTAGGTTAAGGCATGACCAGAGAGAAAAGGCCTTCTTTGGAAGGAACGGAGCTTGGAATAAAAGCAGGGTGTTCTTTTTTTTTTTTTAAGTAGGCTGTTCTTGGGCAGAAGAAAAGGTTTATTGAGAATAAGGGGCTTCGGAATGTGTGACTTCTTTTGGAAAAGTAGGGCCTAGAGGAGCCAAGAGTCACTTAAACCCGGGTGTTCTCTTCACAGCACACAGAATGACTGGGATTCTCATGAAGTCTATTCTACAGAGGAGGCAACTGAGGTTCAGAGAGGGGGAGGGGCTTGCCCAAGGCCTCACAGCTGGTTAAAGAAGGGCAGTGTGGCTGGCACAAAGCCTGAGGCAGATCTAG